AGCCACAGCAGCAGGGTGTGGTGGCGCACGCTTGTCATCCCAGCACCCAGGAGGCTGAGGCAGGAGGATCTTAAGCACAAGCACGAACAGGGAAACTTAGCGGCTTGAGACCCCTTTTGAGAACGAAAGGAGGGGTGCGCCGCTGAGAGCCCCAGCCTCAGTACCATCAGCGAGGAGAGGAGCGAGGTGGTGGGGTGCAGCCGAGCCCGCAGCGGGCAGGGCAGGGGCAGCAGGCAGGGCAGGGCAGGTCGGGGGCGGCAGGGCGCCACAGTGTGGGAGAGAGGACTCGAGAGTGAGGCCCAGGCCCAGCCGAGTGGGCAGCACCTGCTGAAGGCGAAGGGCGCTGCGTGCTGTCCCCTCCCTTGTGTGTGTCCTCGCCAGAACCTCAGACACGGACAGTGTCCTCGCTTAACCCAGGAGGATCTGGCCTCATGTCTCAGCCAGGGTGGCAGAGAGCAGACTGGGGCTCCGGGACGGACGGACACCTGGTACATCTAACAGGCCTGGGAAGGGGACAGCAGTGGCCCCGAGCAGGTGCTGGGTGCTCTCTGAGGGACAGGAGATTGAGGCAGGTGCCAGCTTGCAGACCTCAGGGTCTGAGCATAGGGGCTGCTTAGTGTTTCGTGTGTGTGTGTGTGTGTGTGTGTGTGTGTGTGTGTGTTTGAGACAGGGTCTTGCTGTGTAGCCCAGGCTAACCTCGAACTCCAGGGATCCTCCTGCCTCAGCCTCCCTAGCGTTGAGATGACAGACAGGCTGCAGAGGCCACCTCAGCTGGGTCTTTTGGCCCATGTTGCTAGAATCAGGGAGCTCTGGAGAAACTGGATTTGCCGTGTAGGGCAGTCTGGCTGTGGCAGGGCAGGCATCAGTGAAATAAATGCCTGTCTCTGGAGTGCCTGTCTGTCCTGTCCTCTGTTACCCACGCAGCGTCAGACCCTGGCTTCATCTTTCTGTCTGCAGCAGCCCTGCCTGGGCCAGCACGCGTGACCGCCCAGCACACCCAGTCGAGGGACCCTGTGCCAGTGCTTCCTGCTGTGCCCTGACGAAGCACCGAGCCTGTCAGCAGGCTGACACGTCAGGCTGGGTGCCAGGGCCAGTCGAGGGGGCTGCCCTGCGCAGGGTGCATGCAGCTGTCCTGCCTCCCGAGAGAGTGAGGCTGTCCCGTTGGGCCGTCCCATGTTGCTGGCTGCCCGGGTTGCTGGCAGGTAGCCCAGGGAGACAGACAAGAATCCTGTTACCCGGAAATGGTGATAGGTGCAGCGGCTCCCAGTGTGGACAGACAGGTTCTGGGGACTGCGGTGGGGCTGTCTGGGAGCCGCTGCGGTGGCCGGGTTGGAGGAGGCCGTGGCCTTTGCTCCAGTGAGGCGGACTTGTGCACCGGAGTCCTGGAATCGGTCCTGAATGCCCTGTCTCCATGCGCGCTGTCTTGGTGTGGATTTTGGGCCTTTTGCCATCTGTCTGATACCGTCCTCCAGTGATTTTTTTTTTTTTTAATTGTTTGAGACAGGGTCCCTCTATAGAGACCAGGCTGGCCTCAATCTCCCCGCGATCCTCCTGCCTCTGCCTCCCAGTGCTGGCATCACGGTTTTGCACATGAGCCTGGCTTCTTGAGGAGTCTTTACCTTTTGGGGAGAGGGGGTACCTGGAATTGCACTCCCAATCGTGCTTGCCAGACAGCCCGCTGCACCGCTGAACTCAGTCCCCGGCCCTCCTCGAGAGCTCCAGCCAGGCCTCGTACTTAGCGGATGTGGAGGCTGAGGCGTGCCCAGGCCAGGCTCTCTGGCTACCCCGGCCCTCCGTGGCTGATCTTGTTGGGGGCCCAGCTGGAGCGGCAGTCGCAGGCTGGTTTCCGGTGCAGTCTCCAAATTCCCAGGGGAGGAGCCAGTGCTGGCTCTGAGTTGTTTTTTCTGGGGAGCGGGGGGTGAGCGGACATGGCTGGTTCTGAGGTGCTGTACCCAGGGGCCCTGTGTCTACTCTCCTTGCCCCCTGTTTGGCAGGGTGGGGTCAGAAAGATTGTGGGTTAGTGCCCGGGCGGGAGCCAGGAGTAACAGACTGGAAGAAGACGGCTTAGTGGTATTCATAGAAACCAATGATAGGACATTTGATTTAAGAAATATGGCTAGAGCCTGGGGTGGTTGCACACACCTGTCACTGCTGCACCTGGGAGGCAGAGGCGGGAGTTCGAGACCAGCCGGGCCAAAGTGAGCGCAAGGCCAGCTTGGGCTGCAGAGCAAGACGTTGTCTAAAAAATAAAAAAGCAAATTAAGAGAAATGCCACGTCCATGTGCCAACTGCCCATGAGGAGTGTGACTCATGTACTGTAAACTAGAAATACGAGTATGTGTACATGCATACCTGAAGGGGGCTACGGGATGTGGGGGGAGGGGGCTAAAGGGTGAAGAGAGGCTGCAGCGTGGAGGTGTGGAGGTGCGTGGACGTGGGGAGGTGCGTGGACGTGGGGAGGTGCGTGGACGTGGGGAGGTGCGTGGACGTGGGGAGGTGCGTGGACGTGTGGTGGTGCGTGGACGTGGGGAGGTGCGTGGGCGTGGGGAGGTGCGTGGGCGTGGGGAGGTGCGTGGACGTGCGTGGACGTGGGGAGGTGCGTGGACGGCAGCCCAGCCGCACAGCCCTTGGGGCCCCAGCTCATCCCCTCCGGTCACCTCTCCGAGGCGAGTCCCGCCCTTTCCCCCGCTGCCATAGCTTCTCATCAGTGCCCCTGCGCCTGCCTGCCTGTCGGGTCTCCTTGCCGCGTGGTCCCCGGGCCAGTCTGTTTTCCTCCAAAGGACCGCACTGGCTTCTCCGTGACTGCCAGACTGCCCGGCCCAGGGTGGCTGCGGGAAAGCCTGCCCCCTCGCGCTTCTGTTGGGGTCACTGGGTCTGAGCGCGCCCGCCTCACCTGTGCGAGGCTGGGGTCCAGCTCCCAGCAGCCCAGGAAGTGCAGTGCTGTCCACACCTGGTCAGCGATGCCCAGTGTCTTCACAAGCTGCACACAGTAAGGAGCCGCTGGGATGACCTGGGGGCCCAGACAGTTGTGACGCAGAAGCGTTCGAATGGGAGAGCTGTGGCAGGGACCCTGGAGGGGCAGCTGCCACTCGCACTTGTCATCATGGAGGAGACATGTCGCGGCTTGTGTCCCCGACCTCTGCTGTGACCTGGGTACCGCTTCCTGTCAGGCGCATGGTGCAGTTACTGTTTCCTTTGCCGCCCACCCTCCATGCGCACACTGGAGGTGCAACCCAGGCGCTCACACAGACCTACACCCCTTTGCCTTTTTAAAATTTTGTATTTTGCAACAGGATCTCAGTAAAGCGTCAGCAGGGCTCCTAGGGCTTGTGCTCCTCCCCCTCAGCCTCCTGTGTGCTGAGACCAGGGGTGTGCACCACACCCAGCTCTGCTTCTCATTGCTTTTGTGACAGTGTCGATTATTAACACACGGCCCCGGGGGGTCCACAGTCTGTGCTCCCAGGGGCATGTAGGCGGCGCCATATGTGGTCCTTCTGGAGGCCCCTGGCCTGGCTCCTGGTCACACTTCTGCCTGATCTCCACTCCCTCTGAGAGGAGCTGGGGACTTGTGGGCTTCCCGGTACCTTCCTTTTTTTTTTGTGGCACCAGGGATTAAACTCAGGACCTTGTGCTTGCCAGGCAAGTGCTTATTCTACTGAGCTGTCTCCCTGGGTCCTACATAGGCTGAAAAATCTTT